CTTGTTTTATTTTCCATTCTGCTATCCTGTGTCTTTTTATTGAAGTATTTAAGCCATTTACATTTAAAAGGATTATTGATAGGTACATATAAATTCCCATCTTATTCTTTAAGAACTATGTTCTTCATTTCTCATAATATTGGTTTGGTGGTGATGAACTCTTTTAGCTTCTTCTTATCTGAAAAGCTCTTTCTTTCTTCTTCAATTTTAACTGATAGCCTTGCTGGAAAAAATAGTCTTTGTTATAAAAGTTTCTTGCTTTTCATCTCTTGGAATATTTCATACCAATATTTTTTGGCTGAAAATGTTTCTGTTGAGAAATCATCTGACAGTCTTATGTAGCTATCTTTCTCTTGCTTTTAAGATTCTCTCTTTGTCTTTAACCATTGCCATTTTAATTATGATGTATCTTGTTATGGGCCTCTTTGAGTTCATCTTATTTGGGATTTTTTGTGCTTCCTGAATTTGTGTGACTTTTTTCTTCACCAGATTAGGGAAGTTTTCAGTCATTATTTCTTCAAATAGGTTCTTGATCCCTGCTGTCTGTCTGCTTCTTATGGTACCCATATGATTACAATTCATGTTTCCCCAAAGGTCTCTTAAAATATTCTCATTTTTAAAAAATTATTTTTGCTGTTTTTATTGGGTGTTTTCTGCTACCATGTCTTCCAAATTGCTGGTTCAGTTATCTGCTTTATCTAACCTACTGTTTATTCTTTCTAGTATAGTATTCATTTCAGGTATTGTATTCTTCATTTCTGATTTTTTTATTTTATTGTTTCTATGTCCTTTGACTGCTTGATAACTCTTTATTGAAGTTTTTACTAAGTTCCTTGAGCAACCTTCTAACCATTTTTTGCACTCTATATCTAGTAAATTGTTCGCCTCCATTTCAGTTAGCTCTTTTTCTGGAGATTTCCCTTGCCTTCTATTTGGGGTATGTTTCTTTGTCTCCCTATTTTTACTACTTCTTTATGTTTGTTTCTATGTATTAGGTGGATTTGCTATGACTCCCAGACTTGGTAGGGTGACCTTATATAGTTGGTGTCCTGTGGTGACCCAACGGTGCTGTCTCCTTAATCACCTGAACTGGGTGCTCCAGGAATGTCCTCTGTGTCCCCACGCTTTCTTAACAAATGCTTAAAAATGATAATGCATGCCATGGCTGGTGTTGTTCAGTGTTTAGAACATTGGCCTGTGAACAAGATCACAGGTTAAATTTCTGGCCAAGGGCATGAACCTGGATTGCAGGTTCAACCCCTGGCCCTGGTCTGGGTGAGTGTGGGAAGCAATCAATCAATGTGTCTCTTTCTCTCTCTCCCATCCCTCCCTCCCACTCTATCTAAAAAAGCAATGGGAAAAATATCCTCAGGGGAGGATTAACAATAACAAAAAGAAAGATCATGCACACCCAGATAAGTATCAAAATACACCTTTAAGCAAAGGTCTTTAATATCTTTAGCTTTAAACACCTGCCCCTATAGGAGCTGCCTTACAACAGCTGCATTACAGCATGAATATATTCCTGTTCACACATGACCTATTTGGAAAGAAAATAAAAGGCATATGAGGAAAGAATAAAAGAAAAGAAGGGAAAATAGGATGATGATGCAGAAAGGCTTTTTGTGACTAGAATAAATGCCTGAAAAAGAAAACTCTGAGGTACCAAGAAGATACCATTTCCCTGAGCTTTGCTAAATCTGGGCATGTGAAACCTTCAGACGATATCAGTTATACTTGGTGCATTGTGCTGACTGGACTCTATGGCAACGGACTCATCTTTTGTGTCCTGCAGATAATGTGCCAAATTGCCTATTTAAAACACTGACAAAAGAAAGTCTTCTCATGAAGAGATTCCCGATTAAGAGCTTCTTTAAGCGAGCAAACCACTTTCCAGCAAGATGTCCTGATGACCTGGGCAGGGATGACCCAGACTGACGGATTTCCAGTGCTGTTGTGAGAGATGTATCATGCGCCATGAACCACCCAAGAGGCATGATTTGCCTCATTCTGAATCTATGGCAGAGCAAATGCTGAAAATGGGGAGGGGTGAGGTTGGGGGCTTCTGCTCTTCTTCACATCCTCTCTGTTGAGTAACAGCTCCCCCTTCAGCGGATGGCACCTGCCTGGGATCACTGCTGACAGGGAACCCAAGGCCTCCGACTCCCAGCTACAGCTGAATGTCATGGTTTTCACTGAGGTTTTTTTTGTTTTTTGTTTTTTGTTTTTTGTTTTTTGTTTTTTATGGTTGGCTGAAATGTAGCAAATGTTTCTTTGTTCACTACATTTACTAATAGTGATCAACATCTTAAGGTTCTTTCATATTCTGTCTTCTTTGGGATGGTTTGTGGATGCATTACTCATCCGGCATCAAGGAAAAGGTGTTGAGAGATTCAGATTTATGTTTTAGAGAATAACTGCCTTGCATGGCTGTGCAGTGTATTTAGGTACGATCTGTGATGTGATGTAAATGCAGTTATCTCCCCGTTGCTGAGAAGATGTGAGGAGAGGCTTTCAGGACTTGGGAGGTTGATCTAATTGACCTTGTAGGTGCCCTCAAATCTGGAATTCTATAATTCCTTTGGAACAGTTATGTTGAATCCGGTGGTGCTAGCAGGCAGTGAGGGTGAGGTCAGCCCAGATTTGATTTTTCATCTGGAGAGTGGGTAATTGTGATGCCAGAGGATAACCATTAGAAAGTGGGGATTGTGGGATTGTCCCAGTTTACGGGGCATAGGAGAGGGGTGAAAGGGCAGTCACTTGGCCAGCGCCTATAAAAAGGGGAATAGAGACTGACAGGGTAGTTAGAAAAGATCCTCAGCCCTCTTGGTTATAGACTTTGAGAGGAATCAAAGTTTTTCCTGCAGTAAGACATGCCTCCAGGTCTTTCCTGTAGCCTGAAATCTCTACCACTCTGAATAATATCTCTATTGAGCAATACCTCTAGGAGGCTGTCATCAAAATGAACAGGGGGCTCCCTGCAATAGCAGATCATGTAAATTTGTCCATACTTGGCAATATCTTTGCACAATATTAAGCAATTCCTCCCCCTCTCGGGACCCCAGTGTCCCTGGGTGCTGGTGAGGTTGAGTAGCTCTTTTATAGATTTCATGAAAATTTCTACATAAACAATCATGTCATCTGAATTAAAAAAAAAAAAATTCAATTCATCCTTTCCAATCTGCTTGCCTTTTATTTCTTTTTGCTTTTTTTTTTTTTCTCACTAGCTAGAACCTCCAGCAGAGTGTGAAATAAAAGTAATAAACGTAGATACCTTGTCTTATTCCTGATCTTAGGGGAAAGCATTTAGTCTCCCACCATTAAGGATGATGGCAGCTGTAGGTGTTTCATAGGTGCCCTTTTCCGTGTTGAGAAAGTTTCCTCTGTTCCTAGTTTGATGAGAGTTTTATTAAGAATAGGTGTTGAATTTTATGAAATTCCTTTTCTGTATCCACTGAGATGATCATATGATTTTCTCGTAAATTGTTAAGTTGCTGCATCACCTTGACTGAATGATATAAATTTTGGACTCTATTCAGGCAGGCAGTTAAACTATTTGCAGGTTAGTGTAATCGTTTCAAAGCTTCTTCTAAAACAGGCGTCTTCAAACTACGGCCCGCGGGCCACATGCGGCCCGCAGAGGAGTCTGATCCGGCCCGCCAGGTTTTTTGGGCAGTGAGCGCAGCCGAGGTGTTACAGTAGGAATTAGTAGTTCATATAGTCCGGCCCTCCAGCTCTCTGAGGGACCGTGATCTGGCCCCCACTTTAAAAAGTTTGAGGACCCCTGTAAAAGCATTGTTATGATGGACCCATGGCAGCCTTGTCTCTCGTGCTTATTTAGCCCCATTACTAAGACAAGAGTTTTCCAAGGACTCTACCCAGTATCCTGTCATTGTCTGAGATCTCTCCGCCTTGACTGGTGGGAATGAGAACTTTCCCGGTGCAAGCTCTGAGAGTTCTGCAGTGATGTGCTTTCTGTCCATTCTTTCCCCACTTAGCATCCTGCACAGATCTTTTCTCTACCAAAGACTCCACGTTCTGAAGTTCTCCAGCTCTTTCTACACAATGACCTCCTCTCTCATATTCTATCCCACAAGTTCTAGCCACCTCTAATCCCTAAATTCTTGTTTTTGTTTCTTCACTATAGCAAAATTGCCAGATTCTATGGACAAATAGCTTTCCGTGCTGCTGTGTGGAAACTACCCACCAGCAGTGACTGTAACAGTCGTATGAACCTATTTGCTTCCTTTCTCTCAGGGGTCAAATACTGTGCTGAGAGGCCATGGCACACATCTTGACTGTTGCTGTGTGTGTCGGGGCTGCAGTTCCTGGAGTGATGGCTCCTTGGGAGGGGAGGCAGACGTTTCACCCCCTGCAGTTTGTTCACACTGAAACCACCCGTCTTAATGCCTGTCCTACAGCAGCTACACTTGGTTTGCTATTTTGAATAAAAAGCATTTTGCATTGGAATGCCACAGAGGGTGCCTTGGTGATAGAATTAGATCTCTCTCTGCTACTCTCTTGGCAGCATCAGTTATAACCACTGTAGTGCTTAGTTCCAATTTCTAAAAATGAAAGTATGGGTAAGTGCCTAGCCTCCACTCCAATATATTGTGAGGCATCAAGCAAATAATGCAGATTAGATCTCCACTGTTATAGCACCAAGTCAGGCCCGCACAGTGCTCCGTCCAACCTGTGTGGAGGATCAGACTTCTGAGCAGGCCTCGCCTTCTTTCTACTCTTCCTGAGACTATCCCTCTTATGGTCCAGTACTCTGTTCAGCCTGTTGTTCCAATCAAATGTCTCTAAAAATATCCCATCAGAGCCACCTGCAAATACTATTCTTCAGCGATGGCCACGCTGCTGTCCTAAAGTGGCTGTGTGTGTTGGGTATTTGGTGTTTGAAGCTGCTTCACCCTGAAAGGGCACAGTATAATATCACAATGCAGCATGTCAGGATTTCTTGTACAACAGGCTAATATATCTTTTTTCCCCCTCAGGGCTGCCTGGAGCCACAGGAATCCCAGGGGAAAAGGGAGACCCTGGTGAACTGGGCTTGACTGGAAATGAGGGCCCAGCAGGGCAGAAGGGTGAAAAGGGAGACAAAGGGGACGTGTCCAATGACGTGCTCACTGCAGGTGAGAGGCTGCGCTCGAGCCCTCTGCCGGGGGAACAGGCCGAGACCTGTCTGGAATTCAATGCAAGGGCTGCTCTGGATCTTCTCTCCTCATCCGCCTCATGAGGCCATCTGTTCCCCGCTTTCAAAAAGGAGAATACTGTGCATGTTACCCCACTGTTGGCAAGACCAAATCTGGGATCTAAGCAGAAGTAGGCTAAATAATTCAGGTCTAAACATCATGGCTGGATTAAATTAGGATGAATGAAACTTCTTTTTTCCAAATATCCATTAAATCCAACACAATCCAGAATAATACATGTCAGCAGGCATGCCTCAGAGAACAACTGACAGCAAGTGCAGACGTTTCCTTTGCAATAGAGATAGGGCCATCCTCAGGCCTTGTTCTAAGCCTTGGACATAGAGAATGGGGGCAACTATGGTTGCTGGTCTTCTTTTTCCAGTTTTCAGCCCAGATTAAAAGCAGATAATTGGTGTCTATGGGGATGTGCGGGAGGTGCAGGAAGCCACAGGAAGACAATCAGCTGGTAGAAAAAGTAGGTGACAGTGGTCATGGAGGAGGAGGAGGCAGAAGAATTTTAAAAGCAGAGGACTTTGGAGACCATTTATAACATAAAACATAACTATCCTATTAATGTATTCAGTAAGCATCTATTGAATATCAGAGAGTAGTATTTATGAATTGGGCATTTTGCAAAGAGCTGAGACTATGAATGTGAAAATGAGCAAGATATGGCATCTGTCCTCCAGAAGCTAAGATGATAGATATTCAAAATAATGACCCTAATCATTCATTTGCCCATTTATCCACTGAAAATTAACTGAACACTGCTATTTGCCAGACACTGTGCTAAGACCAAAGCATCAAGGAAAGATCAAGTTATATTTAGCATGCTTTGTTTCATAAATGGGAGGGTGCTATGCAAAACGCATACAATTTAAGAAGTGTTTTCACAGGGTAATATACATGAATATACTTTTAAAATTTAAGACCATGTTACACTTCCATTATACGGGAAGTCTATACATCCAGAATACTGCGTGGTCCCTATACTGCTGAACAAGTGAAGAGTGATGACACACCATGCTGAGTGCACCCCAATTCAGGAGCCCAGGCCAGAGCGGAGGGTGTCCCCTGGTCAGGGAGCAGAGGTGGTGCAGTAGGGTTGGATGTTGCCTGCCCTGCCTTGGGCACAGACCCGCCTCTGGCCTCTGTGACCCCTGCTTACCCACCCTAAAGAGACTGACTTGGAAGAGGCAGCTAAAGAGACCTTAGAATGGGACTGCCAGGTGAGTGGAACTGAAGGGCAGAGCGGCCTGGCCTACTGGCACCGTTATGAGAGCTCCAGAACCAGCCCTTGCAGAGCACTCCACCCATATTGGCACCTGAGGCTACAGGACTGGCTGCCCTCAGGTGTGTAGGGGCCCCAATGACCTCAGTCATTCTCAAGAGGAAGGGTCAGGAGTAAGAGATTAATTCGGAGATGAAACAGGCTCAGCAGGGTTGAGTTGTTGCTGCTCAAGGTCACAGAGCTGGCAGGCGCACCTCATGTCTACCACACGGAGCAGTGCTGCTTGTGGCTGGCTGCAGAGTAGGAAACTTAAAAAAATACAGATGAATAAAAATAGTCACAGGGATATAAAGTACAGCATAGGGAATAGAGCCAATAATATTTTAATAACTGTGGATGGTGTCTGATGGGTCCTCAACTTACCAGGGTGATTACTTAGTAAGTTCCATACTTATCTAATACTCTGTTGTACTTCTGAAACTAATATGTCAACTGTAATTGAAATTTTTAAAAAATACATTTTTTAAGAAGTACAGATGACCCAACCTTCCCACATTGCTGATCTAATTGGTCTAGGAGGGAGCCCAAGATTAGAATTGTATTAAAGCTCCTTGCACAATTCTGATGAACAGTCAAGTCTGGGACCCACCAACATGGCCAGCGACAAAAGGATGAGCTTTGAAGTGAGACACCCCTGGGCCTGAGTTCCAGCCTATTCACGTGACCTCTGGCAAAGCACTGGACTCCCTGAGACTGAAGTCCTTTAGAGCCTGCTTCATGGAGTGGTTGGGTGGAGCCGTGAGGAGATTTATAAATTCCAGTGCCGTACCTGGCTCCAGTGGGAGCTCAGCCTGGCTATGGGAGCTTCCTCAGCTCCATGCGGACAAGTACATGGGCCCCTGTGGCAAGCCCCCGGGAGGTACTCATTCTCTCTATCTTCTGGGTGAAACCCAACTCTAATTATGGCTCCTTAACTGATCTCCCCCCACCTTCTTTCTCTCTCTTTCTCTCTCTCCAGGTGCCAAAGGTGACCCTGGCCCACCAGGCCCTCCTGGCCCACCTGGGCCCCCAGGCCCTCCAGGGCCACCGGGGCCCCCGGGAAGCAGAAGATCCAAAGGCCCGCGGCAGCCAAACATGTTCAACGGCCAGTGCCCAGGTCACCAGCCTTGCCCCAGGGAACCTGCCTCTTCCACTTCCGATCCCAACTCTGGCTTCCTCTAGGCTTTGTGCCTGGGTTTTGTAAAGAGAGGGAGAAGATCTTATCCAAGGAGTTCCCCCTTGTAACATGTTTGTGGGGGGCCTGAGCAGCCTATCCCGGGGTGGGGACTGGTGGCAAGTTTAGAATTGAGCCTCCCTCCACCTTTCCTCATCTCCCTCCCTTCGCTTGTCACTGGACTATTTCTCTTTCTGCCAAATTCACCATCGCTCTCTTCAGAATAGTCTGGAAGATTAATCCCCACTGACACTACAACACTACCGCTGCCACCATCAAGCTTTGAGTGCTAAAAGTGTGCCAGGCATGGTGCCAACTGCTAAGTTCATTTCATTCTCACAGCAGTCCTAGGACATAGGAATTGTTATTGCCACCAACTTACAGACACACAGCTGAAGCAGTCAGTAGTAAGTGGCAGAACTTGGATTCAAACCCAGCCCTGTAGGGATTGAATCCTGAACTTAACTGTAAGGCCCCGACTCTCAGAGCATCTTCCATCGGAGGTGGAAATTCATGCTTTAAGACTAAGCCGATCAAGGGCGAGAAGGCCAAGAGGCCTTGTTCTGTGGCCATTTTGTGATAGGTGTGGCCACAGGACTGACAGCTGCTTAAAACAAGACCCACACTAATGGAGAACACTTGTAGGGCGATGCTAGGACTTCTTCCCCAAACTGAGACCTGGGATCTGCCCACCTACTTAGCCGCAGGGAGGCTCGGCTTCTGCTGTTGCCTCAGTGGCGGACAGGAGGCCCTGCCCTGAGTGTCCTCCTCGCTCGCTGGACTGCACAGCCGCCTTCCTGAGCAGTCTGCAGTTCCCTCTGGCGAACTGCTTTTTCTGGAGGGTGTTTGGGGCCGTGCCCACTGTTATCAGAGCGAGCAAATCTGTGCTTTCAAAGATGTCACACGTGATATCCCCCTCCCCCCATAAATGGAGCCCAATTAGGATTCTCCCTGGAAGTTTGGTTCCATCATTGGCATTCAGCACTGCCCTCTCCATTAGCATCAGCCCTTTGTTCAGCTTCCCTTGGGGAGTGAGCTGGATGGGAATTTGAACTTCATCTGAGAGGAGGGAGGTCTGACCTGAGCCTGTGGAACTCTGACTTGCCAAGGCTCTGCCAGCCAGTGACAGCAGTGCCCGGTGAAGCACTCAGAGCATCCTGCTGAGAGGCAGGGCTAGGCCCCAGAGTTGTGAAGACTGAGCTGTGAGGGTTTCAGTGAGAGTCCATTGCCTCCGACGCCGCCCCCTAGAGCTGAGTCCTCAGCCGCCAGGCTTCCTGCGCCTGAACGTGGCCCTCTCCCTGCTCCAGTTCCATTTCTCTCCCTCCCGCCCACAGCATCGGAAGCAGGTTGGTGCTGAGGAACTAATGAGAGCCTTTTCTCCAGACGGAGGAGAGGGCCCTCCCTGCCCCTTTCTTGTACAAAGCCCAGGCTCCTGAGGGGAACTGCCTGTGGGGGAGTCAGCACAGATCCCGGACAGGGGGACTTCATTTCGCTGGCGAGGAGCCTGGAGATCATGGAGGGCCCAGCCCCCTGATAGCCGCTAACATTGGCTCCGACTCCACATTGCTCTGAGCTTCCTCACTGAGCACACAGCTGCTGCTTTGAGTCTAGCAGCCAGGGATGGTGCGAGCCCATCAGGATGGCCTGGCCTTTCCCAGAAAATCCTATTTGCCCCAGCTTGCCCCAGACCGGGCCCCTTACTGCCAATCCACTTCCTCCCATCTTCACAGTCTCAGGTCCCTCCCCTTCTCCTGTCCTGTTTCCACTGCCCTGAGCCACCTCTCCACCAAAGGTCTGAGTGAAGCCCATTTGATACAGGAACAGTGACAGGCTGAGGAGGGTGGATTCCAGCTCAGGCGCAGCCTTTAACCGACTGTGAATCAGGTGCCCATCAAGGACCTGAGTGTGGAGGCCTCCGAGCAGGGGCAGTGGGAGATGGTGGTGAGGGCTCAGACGGTCTGGGCCAGGCTGCCTCCTCTTCCTCTGTGATCCCTGCCCTGGGCGGTTCAGTCCCTCCTGAGGCTGCTGCCTCCCTCCTCTCCATTGGCCCCCTGAGACTGAAAACCCTCCCAGGAAGTTGCAATCTCAGTAGGTAATCCTCCTGCCCCTGGAGGCCAGGAGAGAGTCAGCAAGCCTCTTCCCCAAGGATTGCTGAGGGCCGGACCACACCGGCTAAGGCCTCCGTTTCCCCTCTTATTGACATCTCTGGGGAGGGTTCCATCTTAGCAGCTGGGCCATGGAAAGCTTGCTGGGAACTCACCCATGAGGGGAGGGGGCAGGAATTTGGAAGTGAATGGCTTGGCGGTGCTTAGCAGCAAGCTGCCAGAGCACTTGCTGGGCCTGTTGTGAGGGTGCCTGTGGGCCTAGAGTCCGGACTGAGGCGGGGAGGGGTGCGCTCACCGTGCCGCCCGCGCTGGCCCTGATCACTGTTTATTGTTTCAGGTGAGACATGCGCTGTCCCCAATGACGACACCTTGGTGGGAAAAGCCGATGAGAAAGTCAATGAACACCATTCCCCACAAGCGGGTACAGAAACAAAGCATCCTATTTCGAAATTCAGAAATTGGATGCCTTAAAGTCATAATTGAGAGGTGAGCAACTTTTTTCTCTCCTCCTTTGGTAGAATCCATGATCGCTTCCATTGGAAACGCAACGCAAGTGCTGAAGGTCACAGAGACATTTGGGACTTGGATACGAGAGTCTGCGAACAAGAGTGATGAGCGGGTCTGGGTGACTGAACATTTCTCAGGTACCTTCCCGTGGCAGGTGGTCTGTCCCTGTGTTGTTGTGTCTTCCATCTGCTGCCCGCCGGCAGGCTGGTCCTCTGCTCTGTGTCTGTCTGAAATCCCTGCTATTTGGTGTAAAACAGTGACCCTTTGTTTTAGAAAACACAAATGAGCGGGCAGAATACTTTCCTCCTTTGAGGACACTTGCTGCTCAGGTCACAGGGACATCATGAGCAGGGCACCCCCGGGGTAGCTTTAGGGAAAGTATCCACAGGAAACCTTATGGCATTATGACTGGTGGCCTCAGAAAGCACAATGGGGAAGAATGTCAGAGCTGAAGGCTTCTGCACTGTCCGCCTGTCTGAGGTTGGCTCCGCCCATGGCAGAGCACTGTTGGCCATCGGTCTCGGCGTCTGTCGGACAGAGCCCTCGGGGGAGGGTGAACTGCCCCCCCCCCCCCAGGGACGCTGCTCCTGCCTGTGACCCTCGTCACGCTGCCTCGAAGGGATGTGGTCAGAAATGCTGGTCGTGGTAGCGGTGCCCTCATTCCAGAAGCGGTCTAGCCACGCACACCGGTCCGAGCAATAGCTGAGATATGCGGCTTCGTTTCATCCAGGCTAACTGACCAGCTGGTGATTACTGCCCAGATGACCAGCCGAGAAGCATTCTGGGCTCAAAGGGAAAGAGCAATAACGTGAAAGAGCAGTAGCTGCTGTGGAGGGCAGGAGGAGGCAGGAGGGGACTGAACAACTGTTCCTGGGTGAGGCCCATGTCCATCTGATAGAAAAGTTTATATAAAGAATTGAGAACGGGGTGGGGAGGGTGAGAGTTCTCCTGGAGGAAAGCTGACTCTGTAGAGTCCGCGTTCAAAAGACAAATCAGAATGCTAAAGAGAACTGGCCTTTGAGTTTGGTCAGGTCACAGGGACATGACCAGGGCACCCTGAGTGTAGCTTATCCAATTTTAGGCAAAGTATCCAGAAGTAAACCATAGCATTGTGAGTTTGAGAGTCTGAGACTTTTCAAGCTGGACAAGGACCCTCCTTATGGGACACCTCCCTCCATTTACCTCCCTGTTCCCTCCCCCTCTCCACCCCCTTGTGCTAGACTCCCTCTCCAGCTGCGATTGCCAGGCCAAAGGGCCAGTAACAGCTGTTCTGGGCTTCTCTCCTGTAGGCATCAGGGTGAAGGAGTTCAAAGATCAGCCCTCCCTGCTGAATGGCAGTTACTCGCTCATCCACCTCCCGTATTATTTCCATGGCTGTGGGCATGCCATTTACAACAACTCTCTCTACTACCACAAAGGAGGGTCCAACACCATAGTGAGGTGAGTCATGTGGGCCCGCAGCCCCTTCTCCTGCATCCCAGACAGCACCTACTATGTGCTTTAGTTACCTGCTCCCATCACTTTGTGCCCTTGGGGCCTGGCACACACTCAGAGGTCAGTCAGGACACAAGTGTGAGCCTCTGGCCCAGCCCCTGCCTGGGTCTGCGTTCATTGCTGGTCCGGACCCCGGGAGTGAGGTTGGAGCCCGAGAAGAGGAGGCTGGAGTGGTCCGAGGGGCAGCTTTCTCACCCTCTGAGCCAGGAAGCAGCCAGAACCCCGGGCTCCCTCTGGCAGGAAGGTGCCACACCCGGAAGTGGGTCCCTGCCAGGACCAGACAGGGACCAAAAGGCGTTCCAGGTGTTCGGAGGAAGCTGAGGTGGGCAGCCAGGCCTCTCAAGTCCCCCACCCCCCACTCCCCCCCGGTTCTTTCCAAACTCCAGTATTCCTTGCCTGGGATCAGGTTTGTTAGGCTCCGTGCACATCCCACACTCACAGGCGCACATTTCTTCTGCTGCTCAATGGCACCCTCTGGTGGTGTTCTTTTCCTGTAACAATGTCCCAACTTTCATTCCTGCAGGCAGGTGCCTCTGGGATCATAGATTCCCTTTATGATTCAGTCTAGATTTGGAGCTGGTCACATCGGACAGCCTCCAGGAGCTGAGGGCGCGGGACGCCACGCACAGCTCCCTCTGTCCAGTCACCCGCCAGCCATGACTTTGTCGCATCTCTTCCAGCTGGTGACCTTCTTAACTTAGGCTGCTGTGAAAATTTTTTTAAAATATATTTTTATTGATTTCAGAGAGGAAGGGAGAGAGATAGAAACATCTATGATGAGAGAGAATCATTCATCAGCTGCCTCCTGAATACACTCCCCACACACACGCCCCCACCCCACCACCGCCACGGAGGAGCAATCCTGTAACCCGGGCGTGTGCCCTGCCTGGGAATCCATCGTGACCTCCTGGTTCATAGGTCGATGCTCAACCACTGAGCCACGCCAGCAGGGCTGCTGTGAAATCTTTTGCTTAAAATGTCAGCCTGGGGTGGAGGAAGAACCTCCCTGTGCAGGTTTCCCAGTAAAACAGCCCAAACTTGGAGTTGGCTCTGTGAGTTACTTGTATCCTGGGCCTGTCGCTTCTCCTTTTTCACTTGCAAAACGAAAGGACTGAACTAGATCAGCTTTGGAGCCCCTGTAGCTCCAGGGGCGTGTGAGAAGGCATTTCAGGCGGTCAGCCAGCACCAGCACTCTGAGGAGAAGGACTTGCCTGGGCTCACGCGGCTGGGAGGGGACACTCAGAGGCCGCCACCGTCCTCCAAACCCCCTGCTCACAGCGCTGGGATGGACCAGTAGGACGAGCATGACCGGGGTGCTTACTGGGAATGCGGAGGCTCATAGGGGCGCCTGGAAAACCACCCTTGTCCGGAAAAGTGGCAACTCATATCTACTTTTTTTTTTTTTTTAACACATTTCAGATTTGAATTTGGCAAAGAAACATCCCGAACTCTGAAACTTGAAAATGCCTTGTATTTTGATCGAAAATACCTCTTTGCCAATTCCAAGACTTACTTCAATTTAGCTGTGGATGAGAAGGGCCTTTGGGTTATCTACGCTTCCAGCGTGGATGGCTCGAGCATCCTGGTGGCCCAGATGGACGAGAGGACCTTCTCGGTGGTGCAGCACATCAACACCACGTACCCCAAGTCCAAGGCCGGCAACGCCTTCATCGCCCGGGGGATCCTCTACGTCACCGACACCAAAGACATGAGGATAACATTTGCCTTTGATTTGTTAGCAGGGAAACAGATCAATGCAAACTTTGATTTAAGAACTACTCAGTCTGTTCTTGCCATGCTATCATACAATATGAGGGACCAGCATTTATATTCGTGGGAAGATGGCCACTTAATGCTTTATCCTGTGCGGTTTTTGTCCGCTGCATTGAACCAGTGACGCAATGCAGTCTGCTCCTCTCCATAAACGTCCGATGTCCTCAGGCACCGTCTCTATCCCAACAGAAAGCTGTCTTTAAGGGGGGCCAGGGGCTTCGCTGTCATAATCTCATGACATGAGTCCTTATCTGGTTGGTAAATGCCCTTTCAATTCAGACTCTTTAGAGGAAGATAACAGAAACCAAATGGCTGAGGTTTGGCGATTCCTCCACCAACCAGCTGGGCCGGGGACCTCTCCCTTCCACAGGGAGCCGGAGAGAGCTGGCTAACACGATGGGTGAGATTTTCTCCACGTGTAGGGAATTCAGTGTTTCTTGGCTATTGCTGCTGTACAACTTTTATATATTTGGCTGTTGTTGTTTTTGTTTGTTTCTAGCCATGTGCTGAGCAAATTGACCTCTGAGTTGATCGGCCCAATTGCTTGAGCAATGAATTCCTAGTGCCGACTTCTATTTGGCACCTTGAAGCTGCCCTGGCCCTTTAAGGCTGCTGAAGTAGCACATTTCCCACAGCTCATTACCTTTCTCTGCCTCTGCACCTGCACCACAGCACCAGAACGGCCAGCGTCCTCTGCTCCTGGTCACTGATCCAAGGTTAGCAAAAAGCAGCACAGCCACGTGTGCAGGTTTCCAGTAAAACATCCACGGGCCCCTCCAGGTTCTTATCAGCTCTGATCCCGCTGGTTGGCAGCAGTGGGTCATAAACGGAATCCTCTGGTCTCAGGCTCCTGCCACAGCTGTGTCTCCGCTGTCAGAGTGCTGAATATTGTGTGGCATTAACTGGCTACATCTACGGGAAGCACTCCGCAGTTTTCAGAACAGAAGCACCATTTGTGGTTAACTGGAACAGGGGCAGGCAAACGATGGCCCTTGGGCCAAAGCCATCCCTTCAACTGTGTTTGTAAATAAAGTTTTATTGTAACACAGTTAGTTACATGCATTATTATAATCGTCTGTGGCTACTTTTGCTCTATAATGACGGAGTTGGGTCCCTACAAGAAAGTTGAGTAGTGGTCACAAAGCCTAAAACATGGGCCGTCTGGCCCTTTGCCCTCCTTTGATTTAGAATATAAAGAGAGCCTGTTTGGGGAAGAGCATATTCACCAGAGCTGATTGTTACGTTTTGGTTTATCCCAGACCAAGAAGTGGTCATTTATATGGTTTGAGTTTTTGAAAGAGGGAAAGGGTGAGGCCAGCGTAAAACTAAGTGGCCTTCCAAAAAGCAGTAGTGAACTGTCCCTTCTCTCACATCGTCCTAAAGGATGTGCTCTGGTCCTCTTGAAAGCAGGAGAAAATCCAGTTTAACTTACTCCTAATGCCCTTGAATACGTCTATTTCTGCCAGCTTCGTTTTTCAAACATGCTTCAGCCAGGCCGGGCCACTGAGAGCAGAGAGGAATCTAGACAGGTACTGGGTCCTGCAGCCAGGAGGGCACCTGAGGAAAATCTGACGTAGACATTTTTCAGCAATTTGTTCTCATCGAATACATGTGTCTGGGGGAAAACTTCTGCAGCTTTTTGATTGGGGCTAAATCCATCCTCTTTGACTCTGAGTCCTGGTTTTATACCTTACTAATAGAAGCATTTTCAAACTCAGAGGGTGTACAGATTTAGATTTTAAATCTCTCCACACCTGAAAATACCCAGGCAGTTATGAGGGAATTTTTTTGTTGTGTTTTCAAAATAAGGGTTTCTACAACTCCCCTGCCCCACCCCCTGCTCACACACACACACACACACACACACACACACACACACTTATTAATTACATTGGTTATGTTGTGTCATCACAGCATTTAAAAATACTCTTTTTAGATTCATGTTTGTAGAAAAGTAAGTAGAGTTTCATGTTCAAGATCAATGTGTCTAATGAATGCCAGTCTGCTTTTAAAGTATTTAAATACGTATGTGGCTGTTTCTGGATGCAGGGGGCCTGGATATGAAGATAATTTCATAGTAACAGCCATGTTAGTAATATTAGTAATTAATCGTATGTGTGGTAGCAACCAAAATGGTTAGTTGTTAAACTAGCATATATTCCTTTTAGGAAAAAGTTTCAGAAACCCCAGTCTTGCTTGACATCTGAGCTATCTTGGTTCCCTGAATTGTGGGTAAGGAATTATATATTCACTACCAGAGAAGGTTGTACGGAAATGTGTGTTTTGTTTTTGCTATGGCAGAGTAATATGAGGACAGCTGAGTTTGATCAAGGTCTAAAGGGTAATTTTATATGGCTGAAAGTTTGTTTTTACAGAGGGAAAAGAATAAAGATTTGACTCATTCTTTTCTGCAAGCAGCACTTGATTAAAGACAAAAAGGTGTGGGCTCACTGCTAAAAGAGAACGGACAACCGAATGCTTTTAAGTTAAGATATCATTTTGGCAGTTTCCCCTCTCACTCATTACCAGGTGGCTTTAAAGCACTTTCCAAATATCTGCCTTTCTGATGTCAGAATCAAGCCCGATAATTCTCTAGCTCCTCTTTAATCTGTAGGAGATAGCTTCCCGGGGGAAAGTAAATAAAACCGCCCGTCCCGACCTCAGAGGCAGGTTGGACCCTATTTCAAAGCATTTTCTCTCAACTGATAACGTGCCCTCCTGAAGCCACGCAGTGGCTACGGTCTCAGCGTATCGCGCAGCACAGGTGTTCTGACAGAGAAAGGGTTCTGGCGTGGACGTGTTCAGATGAGTTCTGATCGTAGGCATTTTGACAATCTTATTCCCCTCGAGGTCGCAAGGTGAAAAGTCACGTGAGAGACCACAGCTCTGCAGGAGCCAGCTGCACATTCTGGCCTGTTTGATGCCAGAGCGTCCGAAGGAGAAGTGTGTGATAGGGCTTTTCCCCTCTCATCCAGCTGCTGTGACCTTGGGGATCATGTCATCCAAAGCCACGGTTTCCCATCTGTAACCACCGAACAACAAAAGAGTAACTGGGACTGTCTCTTTTTTTGTTGTAATTTATTTAACTTTAATCTACCTAGTTAATAAAATAATCACTGCTGAACACAAGCACATATTGGAACAAGTGTATTTTATTTTGACCTCTTGCTAATTTAGATGCAACATTTAAAAGAAAAAACAACAACGCAAAACACTACTGTGGTGGGATTTTATTGGGTTGTTCCTCCGTCGAAACTTGTGCAGTTTACTAGCTCCTCCGAATACTGAAGACTCACTGAGGCGGGCTGTTTTCTCTGGAGAAAGACATCGTAACTAGAACTAGACACACACAGCCGCAAATGCAATGGAGATTTGCTCATTTATTGGCCTAGGCAAGGCACCTGAAGAGAGCATAACATTTGAGGCTAAATATGAAAAGAGACAAATGTTAAAAACTGGATTTGTGTGAATTTGGACAAGTCTCTTAATCCTCAGAACGTGTTTCTTTTGAAAAATGTTGATAACAGCATTACTTAACCTTCTTTGATTTTTCTATATGAAATGAGAAATACTCTGATATAATACAAGTCTTGATAAATGATAGCTGTTACTTTTATATTCATTCCTACAGGAAACCAGAATGGCCCTGTTGTTCTTATGGCTTTATTCAGGGGCTGGTTAGGAACACGCATCAACTGTTTCTTTCTTTTTTAAATGTATTTTATTGATTTTTTACAGAGAGGAAGAGAGAGGGATAGAGAGTTAGAAACATCGATGAGAGAGAATCATAGATCAGCCGCCTCCTGCACACGTGCCCGAAACCAAGGTACATGCCCTTGACCGGAATTGAACCTGGGACCTTTCAGCCCCCAGGCCGATGCTCTATCCATTGAGCCAAACCGGTTTTGGCAGCATCAACTATTTCTATCTGCTGGCCTGTTTGATTAGCTAGTTAATACTTTACTCCATCAAAAAATAGGCCCCTTAGATATACAACAAATTTACGATAAAACTGCCCCAAATTAAAAAAAAAAAAAAGTTTAAGAATATGCTGCTTTGTTTTATAGAACTTCTTTATAAGCTCCTCTAGCAGTGTCTCTGTTAGTGGGTGGCCCAAGGCAGGCACTGCTGATGGCTTTTGTCATTAAAATATAAAGCAAAAAGAGAAAACCCACCAAGAAAATAGTAGTCTTGCCCTTTCAGACTTTGCATGTGATGTTAAGATATCCGTTCTTACATTCACTGCAAGATATAAAATAAGAATGAAATTCATCTGCCTCACTACTTTCCATCCAAGCAATCTGCTAGGATCAGGCCCCAAAGCTGAGCTGTTTAAGAAACTGTGGTTAAAGTACTTCTAACATCTATTAAAAACGTAATTCTATAATTGCTAGGTTCTTGTGTCCAGCCGCCTGGCATTGTCAGTGTCCCACACTCGTTGCTGAGGCCACGTGAGTCATCACAGGATGACAAGAGGCCAACACTAGAGGGGTCTTCACAAGACACCCAACCCAACCCTCTCCCGTGGCGTCTGAGAATGGAAGCCACAGAAGGTGGCCCCACAGCTTCAGCTCCTGCGTGCGTCCAGAGGAGACACTGTATCATGACCTTGTGATCATGTGTTCCACCACCTGCTGCTGCTTCCAGAGTAAGGATCTGGTCCTTGTAATTGGAAAATGAAAATAATTAACTTTGAATATTAAAAAAAAAAAAAAAAAAAAAAAAAAAAAAAAAAAACCAACTTAGAGGAATAAGCCAAACCAGCCCCGTCAAGCAGAGACACTCCCTGCAAAGATGCCATCACCCTGGGAAGTAGACGCACGTGCCCCAGGCCAGGACCTGGTTATTCCCAAACTGCCATCCCTACTGGATGACCTTCCTGGAGTTCTAGAGCAGCGTTTTTCAACCGCTGTTCCGCGGCACACTAGTATGCCGCGAGATGTTGCCTGGTGTGCCGTAGGTGCAGACAAGACAAGAATTTTATAATTTTTCACTATTTTGTTTACTTAATATTTCATAATAAAGTAATTATAAAATACTTTCTTTGTGTTTATTTGATTCCTATTCAAGAGAATTACTTTATATATAGTCAATATAGGCACAGAGTTAAATTTTTTAACATTTTCTAATGGTGGTGTGCCTCGTGATTTTTTTCATGAAACAAGTGTGCCTTTGCCCAAAAAAGGTTGAAAAACACTGTTCTAGAGACACCAAAGTAGCCACTACTTGGTGCTCACATCTGCCATGTCTCTCCTAGGCACCTTCCCTTTGTACATGTTCCTTCATTTACTCATAGATGCGCAAATGGGACTGTCCCTAAATGTCATCTATTCTCTCATTCTGTCTACAAAGGCGGTGGGCACTGTGCCGCAGCTGCTGCTCCTTGGATTGCTCATCAGGAAAGACCTTTTGCCCCTGGTGCTGGGAGTGCCCACCGCATGCAGCTCTCAGCTGTCTGCCCCTTCGGAACTGCCTGGGCTGCAGAGACCTCTTTCTTCCTCACAGCACGTCCCCTCAGCCAGTGGCTGCTCTGTGCATGAGTATAAAGGCCTGGAAGCTCAGCACAACTCAGAATGACTCTACAGGGCCCCACAGTGCCAGAGCCCCCATGGGCCAGTCCGTGTGTCACTGCGTCTTCCCTCCACCCGTCTGGCTTCTGTTCCTCCTTCCACAGGTGCTGAACGAAAGCCTCCTGAGTGACACCCGCTGGCTAACGTCCACCCGACACCTGCTTCCTGGGGAACCCAAACCATTGTAGGTTTGCCCAGCTAAATTTTAATGTCAGATCAACAACAGCAACATTATGTCCCAACCATAATATTTCTACTAAAAATTACTTATTTGAAATCCATTTTTAACCATGAGACCTGTATTTATATTTTTAAACTTGGTAACCCTAACCAGGCAGAGTCCCAGAAAGAAGCCCGGGAGATGGGGTTTGTGGTTGGACCATTCACCACCCTGTTTGCAGTGAGGACCCATCCCGGGAGTAGATGGGCCACAAATAGCCCCCGGGACAAGGCGGTGGTCCCACGTTACGACGCCCACCGGTGGTCATCTGGAATGGAATATGTTAGCGCAGTGGTCGGCAAACTCATCAGCCAACAGAGCCAAATATCATCAGTACAACAATTGAAATTTCTTTTGAGAGACAAAATTTTTAAACTTAAACTATATATATAGGTAGGTACATTGTTGTTAACTTAATTAGAGTACTCCTAAGCTGGCCTTTGCTAAAAACTCAAGGTGCCAAAGAGCTACAGTTTGCCTACCACTGCTTTAGTGAATGTGATGTATCAAGTGATGGAGATTCACGGACTAAAAGCATAATGGAATCAGGTGGTTATTGCTAAGCCTGATTGACCCTCTGGAAAAAAATAGGAGAAAGCTGAGAGTAATTAATTTCTAATTGAAAGCTCCGAGGGCGGGGAAGGCCCAGGGCGTCTCTAGCAGCACGCAAAGAGGTTCTCTGCTCCAGCAGCCGAGGGAGGACCAGACGCTGGACTTAAAGTTGCTCCCAGGAAGGTTAACTGTCCAGCAAAAGGCCGCTAAGCCGAGGTGAGGAACCGGACAAGGTGGGGAGGCGGGGCGTGGGCATATCAGGATTGCCTGCTTCCAAGGTGTAGTTTGTATGTTGTTTGTGGTCATTTGGAAATAAGGGGAAGTTTAAGGGTGGGTTAAATCATGTTTGTTGGCAATGTTTTTTCTCTAAAAGGCCTGATATTAAATATTTTAGCCACCGGGTTTCTGTTGCAACTACTTAACTCTGTTGCTGTAGCTGGAAACAATATATAAACGTGTGAGCATGGCCGTATTCCAATAAAACTTTCAGTTACTGAAATTTGAATTTTATAATTTTCATGGGTCACACAATGTTTTTATTTTGACTTTTTTTAACTGTATAAAAATGTAAAAACTACTTTTAGCTTGCAGACTGTACAAAAACAGGTGGTGGGCCCAATTTGACCTACAGGCCGGTTGGCCAAGCCGTGGTGTGAGAGTGATTTGTAAGACCAGTACCTTTGGCCTTCGTCCCAGTTCTGGCCCAGAACTCCTAAACCCTAAGAATGTCCTGTGAGGAGAGTTATAAAGGTGTCTTTTCTTATGTTAATGAGGTGGCTTTTGGAAAATCTCTAGGCACCAACCACGTGATTGGAGAGTTGGATTTCCGGAAGAAAGGGAGGCTGGAGGTTGAAGAGTTTGCCAGTGGCCAATGATTTAGTCAGTTATGCCTGGGCAATCAAGTCTCCATAAAAACCAAAAGGAGGGGGTTCAGAGAGCTTCCGGGTTGGCGAGCGTGTGGAGATGCAGGGAGAGGGGTGCCCTGGGAGAGGGCAGGAAAGCTCCCCGCTCTCCCTGCACCTCACCTCATGCACCTCTGCCATCTGGCTGTCCCTGAGTTACATCCCGTTTCTCTGCGTTCTGTGAGCTGCTCTAACAAATTAATTGAACCTGAGAAGGAGGTTGTGGGAACCTCTGATCTATAGCAGGCTGGTCAGCAGCACCGGTGATAACCAGGACTTGTGGTTGTCATCTGAAGTGGGGGTCATCTCGTGGGACTGAGCCCTGAACCGGGGGGTCTCATGCTGCCTGTAGGTAGAGTGGCAGTCAGATTGAGATGAATTATCGGTCACCCCGCTGGTGGTGTAGGGAAATACCTGCACACGGCTGGTGTCGGAGTTACTGTGAGTGTGGCTATGTTGTGAGGGTCAAGGAGACACACCTGTGGGAAGCTGAATTTGTTCTTACCTGGGTTAAGCACATGCTACCTCTCACGGTGCTTATATTGAAGAACATTTCATTGGCCCCTCCTTGAGGATGGGGGTCATTGTGTCAACTTAAAGACTGCTGTGCACATAGGGTGAGATACCTTTTTTTATTTTCTCCAAAGCAAAGGAATACCACAGTGGTGGCAACTTCAAGGCCATCAGCATAGTTCACATGTATCGAGTGCTTACTGGGTGCCAGGTGCTGTACTAAGTGCTTCCAACTGATGAACTCATGTGATCCCCCTGGGAAGCCCTTAAAGTGTAAACTTGATCAAACCCATTTTCCAAACTAAAAGACATTAAGAAACTCACCGACTGTCCCTCAGCTTGGAAATGGTGAAATTAGGATTCGAATTTAGGAAGTCGACACCAGAGCCCACACTGTGGGCAACTATTCCTTCCTGCCGCTCAGACAGGATTCCAAAGGTTTCTCCACTCTTTTTGGCTCCTTTGACCGTTTCCAGTGCAATCAGGGCTAAAGTCACACCCATGTGCTGGAGGTTGAGCTAGCCATTGTCTATCTTTGTCAGACTGGGTCTTGCTTGGTCCTAGTTGTCTGGCAATGAAATACTAAATATTTAATACTAAAATATTAAATATTTTAGCCACCGGGTTTAACTCTGTTGCTGTAGCTGGAAACAACCTGATTTGCTTGGGCATTTTTCTATTTGCTTGCTCTCTCTTTTTTAAATATGTTTTTATTGATTTTTTAGAGAGGAAGGGGGAGGGATAGAGAGAAACATCACCGATCAGCTGCCTCCTGCACACAGTCCCACAGGTACTGAGCCCATAACTCGGGCATGTGCCCCGACCAGGAATCAAATTGGCGGTCTCGTGGTTCTTGGGTCAATGCCAACCAGTGAGCCACACTGGCTGGGCCTTGCTCTCTCTTTCTTTCTCCAACCTACCCCTCTTTCTGCCCTAGAATGGCTAATATGAACATATACACTCCAGCTTTCTTTTGGTTTATATGAGTAAGGCATATCTTTTTCATTCTTTTACTTTGAATCTATCCATGTCATTAAAGTTCTTTTGCAGGCAGCATGTATTTGGCTCTTGCTTTCCCCCCACCCCAACCCCATCCCCAGTCTGCCTATGCCTTTTAAATTTAGGTACTTAAGGCACTAGTCAAGTATAGCCTGGTGGGCTGCCTGCTTTTGTAAATAATATTTTATTGGAATGCATCACATTCACTCAATTCTGTATTATCTATCTACTAGTGGCCCAGTGCATAAATTTGTGCACATTGGAAGGAAATTAATTAGAAGAAATATTTTAATATCACTATTCTCCCTTTATAACAGAAGTGTTAACCAAATTCACGATCAACAATGCCAGATCAAAGCACACGCGTGCATTGGTGCCAGTGATGAAGCCAGGGCTGTGAGGGAAGCCCGGGTTTCAGATCCAGAGGGAGGCCGGTGTTGGTCGCTGGGGAAAGAAAGGCCTACTCTTGCACACATTTCATACATCAGGCCTCGAGCATAGAATAAACCTGCTTAATTAGACCTGCTTTTCGATTTAGCGAAACTTTTCCATCCCAGTGAAGCACCCAACTTCTCTTTCAGGTAATTGTGAGCAACACAGCAGTAAATATCAATATGAAGCAGATTATTATTGTAGGTCACGCATGTGGTTTAGACCATTTACCTCAAATGTAATTACTGATATGGTTGGTTTGAATCTATAATTTTACTGCTTCCTCTTTTCTCTTTTTCTGTTGTCTTTTGCACTGGATATATTTTTTTTTTTTAATAATTTCACTGTATTTTCTTTCTTGGCTCATTCGTTATAACTTGTGTTATTTTACAGTAGAGCTTAGGGTATATATCTTTATCGCAGTGCCACTTCACCTACGTGAAAACCTTACTACAATACACTTCCATTCTCCTCTCCTGACCTTTGGCTGGCATTGTCATGCATACACCCAGCATTTGTATGTTCACTAAAGGCCCAGTGCATAAAATTCGTGCATAGGGGAAGGGATGTCCCTCAGCCCAGCTTGCACCCTCTCCAATCTGAGACCCCTACCGGGATTGGGCCTACATGGGCAGTTGGATATCCCTAGCAATCCAGGACTGCTAGCCTCTTGTTTGGATTGTTCCCTTCATTATTATGTAGTGTACTTTTTTTGTCTCTTACTATAGCCTTTATTTTAAAGTCTGTTGTGTCAGGTATAAAAATTGCTACCCTTGCTTTCTTTTCATCTACATTTGCATGAAATACCTCTTTCTATCTCTTTTAATCTGTGTGTATCTTTTGTTCTGAGATGGGTCTCTTGTATACAGCATATACCTGGGTCTTGGTTTCTTATCCATTCTGCAACCCCATGTCTTTTGATTGGAGCATTTAAGACATTTGCATTTAAAAATCAATATTAATAGGTACATACTTATTGCCATTTTCATCTTTATTATTATGTTCCTCTGTTCTCCTTCTCCCCCTCTTCATCCTTCTTATTCACCCTTTAATGTTTCTTCTGCTACTAGTTTGGTGGCAATGAAGTTCTTTAGCTTTTTCTCATCTGAGAAGCTCTTTATTTCTCCTTCAGTTTTAAGTGATAGCTTTCCTGGGTAAAATAGCCTGGTTGTATAATAGATCCTTGCTTTGCATCACTGAATATTTCATGCCAATTTCTCTGGCCTGAAAAGTTTCTGTTGAGAAATCAGGTGACAGTGTATGGAAGCTCCCTTCCTGATTGTATACACGGCTTTATCCAAACTACTGCTTATTCCTTCTAGAGTAGTCTTCATTTCAGATATTGTATTCATTTTTGACTGGCTCTTCTCTTCCTCCTCTTCCTTTTTTCAATTTCTCCTGTTCTTTCACTTGGGGCATATTTATTTGTCTCCCATTTTGGTTGCCTCTTTGTGTTTGTTTCTGTATATTAGGTGGATCTGCTATGACTCCCAATCTTCATAGGATGGCCTTACATAGAAGGTGTCCTGTGGGATCCAGTGGTGCAGTCTCCTTGGTCACCTGAACTTGGTGCTCTAGGAACCTCACTTGTGTGAGTTATGAGAGCCCGCCTGTTGTAATTGAGTCTTGATGATTATTAGTCCATTTGTGCATGTTATTGAGCCTCAGGCTAGCTGACTATGAGGAGAAACCCTAACAGTGTACAAGCTACTTCACTAGTAGTGGAATTTACACCAGGAATGTCTGGTGCCTGCTGCAATCTCCTTTGCATTTTCTATTGGATCCTGCTCTGATGTCTAAAACTGGCCATTGGGTGTGTTGGTTTGGGGGCCTCTTGTGTGGGACTTTAGTGTGGTCCAATGTCAGATGCTGCCTGGGACTGGCCCTGGGTAACCTGCTTGGAGCTACAAAGTGATCCACAGTTTGTGGCTGCCTCTGATGGGCCTGGGTGTGCACAGGAAGAGCCAACCTGGGCATCAAGGCTGGCTTTTACCAGCACTAGGCCCAGGGGCAGGTCAGTTAAAGTTCCAGGCACCCCAAGTGCTGCCTCTGCCTGGCAGGTGCCTGTAGACTCAGTCACTGAAACAGCACTCAAGCTACATGAGATAGATTCTCAATGCATCACCAGGTAGGAGTGTGCGGTATACACCAGATGGAAACGGTTCAAACTTGGTGCCAGTGCCGCGTCAGAGGCCACTCAGCAAATATCCCAGGGTACACCAAGTCTAGTGTCACTGCTGGGGCTAATTCCAGCATCTCATAAACGCAAGAAGTTTCATCAAAAGGTTGATGGAACTTGGGGCTTATTCAGCAGGGCTGAATACATGTTATTACCTACTGGAATGGCTGAAGGACATTTCCCCACACGTA